AAGCCGATCCTTTGACCAAACGTGTGCTAAACAATTGTGGTATCTCCCTTCACATTTCCTATAACCTCCAATCACACCTTCACTGTTACAATTTGTACTGTGATTATTTTTAATGTTGCGTCGTGTGCTCCTTCGAGCGCCATTTATGAAAACCCTTCACACAGTCTGCCATATTGTTGCGCAGTCCTCCTTTCCTGGGTCCTATCAAAGTCTCTCTCTTGCCCCGTCGAATCCGTCTGCTATCTCCCTGCTACATGTATTCCACTCGACCCCTGCCCCCCACCCTCATCTGTGCTATTCGAGACGTAATTCGTCCATCCCCTGAGCCTGGCCGATTGATTAGAGACTAAAGCCTCAGACTAAATGTCATGGTGATGACTTTGCTACATGAACCATGTCTCTGCCAACACCTACTGCCAGCCGCGTCTTTGCGGTTTCTATTCCTAATTCCAGGTCTATCACTTCCCATGTCCTTATCTCTTGTCTGTCAACCCACAATTGTCGTGGTTCTACTTGTTTTAATCAGGCTCACTGAAGACGCCTCCTCTTGGTCGTCCTTTCACATTGTCTTGGTTCCCCAAGGATGAAGAACATGGAGGAGAAGAACTTTTGGGAAAGCAAGGCTATGTGAAATTGAATGGAAAACGTCAGCTCAACTCATATCATTGTGGGGAAATTCTACTACCAGTCCTTCATCGCCTTACACGAAATAGGGTGAATACATCTCTACATTTTTCTCTATAAATTCTCGCCAAGGATACTTTCCATTTTCTCCGTGTACTGTTTCCTGTCCATCACGACCGTCACCCTGCCTTATCCGACTGAAGAACTATTTGATCATTCTTTTGTAATGCTTGTTTTCCCAAATAACAGCCAATCTGCTTCTCTGTATCGGTTGCTGATGAGTCAAGATCCGTGGGATTATTTCCAGTTCCATCTCCCGTCTTGTATCTTCTGGATATTTATCCGTTGTGTTGACAACTTCCACCAGAATATCACTAAGAACGTTGCCTTCATTGCCTATTGAAAGATGTAACCCCTTCATTAAGAGATCCGTGGTTTCAGGATCACGAGGGAATGAAGATAGGTTTACAACCTTTGTCCTATCGTCGACTGTAGCAGTTGATGTCTTCAATACAGAACCATCACAATTTGCCTCTGATCACTTGGTCTGAGCAATTTCTTGTCATGCCTCTTATTTATCAGATCACAAACCCTCTGCGACTTCTGGTCCGTCATGCTCTGGAGTTTTTAAAAATCATACAAAATGAGAACCCCACCTAAATCCTTCCTCGATCTAGACTTGAGATCTATGAACTTGATTAGCTTACGCCTCTCAGTCTCGCAACTTTGCTCTAATTTCATCAAACATGTCCAAATGAACCTTCCTCATTAGATTACAGAATCGTGGCACGATACCAAAATGTTTGCAACATTTCAAAAAGACTAAATGAAAGGATTGACTTTAGAGGTTAGATTTTGGCGTACGTTTAATTTTTTCGTTATTAACCAGGTTGGTAGGCTTTCGAGACTACCAATAAATCATATAAACGAGATGTGTTTACCCTATTTCATTTAAGCTGATCAAGTACTGCTAGTCCAATTCTCGCACATTCATATGAGTACAGCTAAAGTAATAGAGTGAACACATTTCACATAAATCGGATTTATTGGCAGCCTACTCATTGATGAAGAAAGTAACATCGTCGATTGCTATAGCAAATAGAAGTTTGCGGTTAACATATCGAGATTACATGCCGCACTGACATGGTTCGAGACCTTCTTGGGGTGTTGATGAAATCTAGGCGAGAGAGAATCGAAGGAGGTTGCATCGGAAACAGCGTCAACAAGAATGTTCCTGGTCGAGTCGACGTTCGAGAATCTTCACCAATTCTTTCACTCGAAATTGAATTAAGCTCAACCATTATGAAACACACAATTTCTCGTAATCCAACTTTTTTCGCATATACTACTTATATTTCATTTATAAGTAGATTTCGAGTTTACCATTAGAAACTGTATTCCGCATAAGCCTAAATGAGATTATCTTTTGAGAAGCAGCGGCGTGTGAAATTCAAAATTGCCATGACATCGAATTATGTGATTTTGTTAAAATTCAACAACCAGTATCCTTCATCGGCTTAAGCGAAATAGTTTGAGTAAAGTTTTCATATCACATCTTTCCAACGTTGTCTCAAACAAGGTATCCAATACAATCTCACATACAATTTCATGTGCATTCATAAACGCTGCCATGAAGGCTGTTGCATAGTTCCCCTCAGACACAGTTTCCAAGGTAACTGAAGAGTAGGCCTTGAAATCGGCGACACGGAAAAATTAGTTATCACATGCAAGTCTGCTTAAAACCTGTTTCTATTCCCAATTTAGCTTATTTGTTATTGGTGCCTCAATGGACTGTAAAGACAAAAGCTTTGACTGGTTTCCGTGGGATTGAGGGATTAAACGCCCTGTTCGGACCAGCAAACATTCACAAGTAATGAAAAAGCGTGCTTCCATCTTCGGTCTGGCCAATTTATGTCCAACCGACTTTCCACACACATATTAAATAAATAACAATGCAGATTTTTAAATAGCCTTCTTGAGACCCAATTTTCTGTTTTTATCAAATGTGATTGGCTAGACTTTTTAATGAATAGATCCGAGAAAACCTCCTTCATCAGGATCCAGATGGGCAGGTTGAATGCCTACTTATGTTCGATATAAGTAGTGTCAAGGGACTACCAGTAATTCATGAACAAGAATTTAGTCAAGGATATGAAGACCAAGATAGTGTGGCCCCCGGTATGGTCGCAGTCTCATTTCGACGTATAGAGCTCGGTTTTACAACTTGATCTTGTTGTCAGGGCGACTTTGTTGAACTCACATTTTACAAATTCCTCTGCCCTAGTAGTTATCATAATTGCCAGCATTCTCAAATGAGAATCTACCAAGTCCATGGTCTGACGCCGAAAATTATGATAATAACTATGACAGCTGAATGCGGACAAGGCGCGTTCTATTAAGTCGTCCTGACAACAAGACAAAGTTGCGACAACGAGGTCAACACACTTCTGGGAATTTAGTCAGCCGAAGTCGCTTAAAGTAATCTAAGGACTGGTGGTTGAATTTTTCCCACAATCCAATGAATAGACCACATGGTATCAGTGAATTTCACTTTTAGGGCTCACCTAAACTGGCTTTATCAACATCCACAACCGAATTGGATATCGGGTCGTGAGAATCTTGGCGACCGTTGCCAATGCGTCGTGAACGGGCAAGATGCCACATTTAAGTCAGGCGCAACTTACAGTTTTAGCGGGATTGTCGCTTAAGCAAGCAATCGAACTGATTACTTATTTTCCCTACAATGCGGTCTCCATGACTGAGATGGTCCGCTTTCACGCCGAATCTGCAGTCAAGTCTGGAAGGGAAGAGCATTTGCGAGCATTTGGCTGTGTGAAATTGAATGAAAACATAAAGTCGATTCATATAATTGTTGGAGATTTCACCTTAAACGAAATAGGGTGAACACGTCTCATTTATCGTATCTATTGGTAGAAAAAACCGATTTATTAACAAAAAATAAGTAGGCATCCAAGTCCTTTATCACTTCGAGTTTCGACACTATTTCTACCGAAAGTTTGAAGACCTACTCATTTGGTGGAGAGTAGAGTCGTTACATGAGCACTCAAAATAGCTGATGACGCAATTAATATTATTTACTACCATCCACCTCGTTACTCTCTACCAAATGAACAAGTCAATAGATTGTCGGTAGAATTAGAGGCATTTAAGATGACTCATTATAGCTTAGAAACATACTACTTTTTTGTTAATAAGTAGGTCGTCGAGTCTATGAGTAGATCAGATAAATGAGATCTATTCACCTCATTTCGTTTAAGATTATTCCCACATTCGCGTTTCTAACTCTCTCGGGTCTCATCAACTCCCCGGTCGGACTCGAGTCAATGCCACATCAGCTCACACGAAATCAGGTGAGCACATTTCTTTTATGCAAGACGACTGATAGACTGGGAAGTAAACTTTGAAAAAGGAAATAAAGAAGCCAATTTATCTCTGGTCGCTCAAGGTGGTGGTAATGTGAAATTTAATAGAAACGTCATTGTGGGAACATTCTACTGCCAATCCTTCATCACCTTAAACGAAATTGGGTGAATACATCTCATACTACTGATTTACTGGTAGTCTCGAAACTCTACTTACATACCAGAAATAAGTAACCTAGTCGATTGTCATAGCAAATATACGTTTGCTTCATCGACAATCCCACCAAAGAATGTGTGATATGGCAAAATGCCTGGCCCTCTTTGAAATTCACATCCACCCTGTCAAGCAAGGACACTCGTGGCAACAAAGTGTCAAGCTCCCATTCTGCACTGTCACGGTTCGACTCCCGCTGGGGATGTTAATAAGACCAAGCAAAGTCGAAACCACAGTCCACTTCTGCCTGGATGAGAATAACTCTTGGGAAAGCAAGGCTATATGAAATTCAACTGATATCATTGTGGGAGAATGCTTCTTCTACCAATCCTTCATCATACAATAAACGAAATTGTGTGAATACATCTCATAAAACTTCTTTTTTGTTAATAAGCCGGTTTTCCAGTCTATGAGCAGATCAGACGAATGAGATCTAATCACCTTATTTCGTTTAAAGTGATTCATACATTCGCGTTTCCTTTTCATTTTATATCAAATATACGTTTGCTGCATCGAAAATCCCACCAAAGAATGGGATATGGCAAAAGTGCTGGCCTTCTTTAAAATTCACATTTGCCCAGTAACCCAAGGGCACTATTTTGGGAAAGTAAGGCTATGTGAAATTCAACTGATATCATTGTGGGAAAATGCTTCTTCTACCAATCCTTCATCACACATTAAACGAAATTGTGTGAATACATCTCAAAAAACTTCTTTTTTGTTAATAAGCCGGTTTTCGAGTCTGATAAATGAGATCTAATCACCTCATTTCGTTTAAGATGATTCCCACATTCACGTTTCCATTTCATTTGGCACAGCCATGCTGCCAGTTTCCAACTGTCCCGGATCTCATCAGCTCCCCGGTCGGACTCGAGTCAATGCCACATCGGCACACACGAAATCAGGTGATCACATTTCTTTTATGCAAGACGACTGGTAGACTGGGAAGTAAACTTTGAAAAAGCCGGCTCAAGTTGGTGGCAAAGAGTCGGCCTCGGTCCAGCCCGGAGGAGCATAACTTTGGAGAGACGCGGCTGTGTGAAATTGAACAACACATCGTGACACATGTGATTGTCAGGCTGTGGGCAAGGCCCAACCATCGGTCCTGCTCCCATGCAACCTTGACGCAATTCAGGTGTCTAATCAAGATGTGGCTGTGCTCACGAAGCATCTATTCGACGTGAACAGAGTACATGAATGCTGCTACTTGCGGTAGGTTCGAACATGTTGAGTCTTTTGTGTGCGTGTGTGTGTGTGTGTGTGTGGGTGGGTGTGGGTGGGTGTCAGCGGTCAAGCATCCCTTTGCCGTCTCAATTCTTGGCTGTAATAATCCCATAAAGATGTGGCTTCATTCGGCGTCTCTTGATGTGTGCGTGCAGGCGAAAAGAGGCTTTTTCCGGACTAATTAAGGCCCATAACCCCCCCCCTTCATCACCACCACCACCACCACCACCACCACCATCACCACCACAACCACATTTAAGGCTTTGTTGTCTCGAAGCCTACAGTTTTGACCCAACCGGCTTGGATTGTGTTCCGCAATTTTGCGTTTCAGCCCGTGTTGACTCTTAATCTTAAGCCTCTTATGGTCGGAAGTGAAGACGACCGGCTAGAACAAGGTGGCTTGACCTCTCATTCGCGTGATCCTATCTTCATTCTGCATCGGAATGTTGACTTGGTACCGATCGCGTAATCAACAGCAAAGAGAAGCTGTATTTTATGCTTTTTGGTTAAGCTTTTGTCAATGATGGTGGCCAACACACAACTTCACATGAAGCTGACTCGAAGACCTTTTTGCACAATCCGACAATCAAACGTAATCGAGAAGCTACTCCAACTTGAGCTTCAATCTTGCTCAATTGTTTTGAGTTGTTGTGTC